AGCTGGGTGAGCGTCTTGAGGAAGCCGGTGGCGCCACCTCCGCTCAGATTGAGCTGAACAAGAAGCGCGAGGCTGAGCTTAGCAAGCTCCGCCGCGACCTCGAGGAGGCCAACATCCAGCACGAGTCTACCCTCGCCAACCTCCGCAAGAAGCACAACGATGCCGTCTCGGAGATGGGCGAGCAGCTCGACCAGCTCAACAAGCTCAAGGCCAAGTAAGTATAATTTATATTGCTATAAAATTACAAATAAAATAAAAGTAATGTATCGACGCCTACGCGTGACTCATCAAACACGGTCGACGGATACATGTGGGATTGATGGATTTATATCCGAATTAAATATAGAGATTACATTTACTGAACTGTAATGCAACATCCAGGGCTGAGCATGACCGCGCGTCTTGCTACAACGAGCTTAACAACACTCGCGCGGCTGTCGATCAAGTAGCCAGAGAGAAGGTAACATGTCGTCCGTAGAGGCATGTCTACCGCCTGGGGTGAACCTTGCATGGAACCTTACGACCCACATTACACATCACACGGCATTGTGATATCGACGACGATGTTTCTCAATTCATTCCTCGACCGTATTTATCGGTTGTTGACAGTATACTAAAATTGTTTTGTCGTTATTTATCTATCCAGGGCTGAGAAAGAGCGCTCTCAGTACTTTAGCGAAGTCAATGACCTTCGTGCCGGACTCGACCATGTGTCCAACGAAAAGGTACAAGGATGAACAAACAATGTTTTGGCCGTTGCCATTACAGGGCTTCGCTTTGCAGCTTATTAAATGGAGATTAAAGTCAAAACACCACACATGGAAACACATAATCCATCCCATACAATAAAACTCATTATAATACACTAATAAGATTTTCACTCGATTAGGTATAGCATGAAAGCTAAAACCGCCTCAACGTGTGAACAACATTCCTGATAATACGTTAACATTCCAGAAAAAAAAATAATGAACTGCATGAAAATCTAAAAAAGAAGAAGATGCATGAACAATTTTTGTAATGTTTTCCATTTTTAAATAATTATTTTTAAATTACTTAATTTTATCTAATTTAACAAACTAACATTGAATTATTACATAATAATAATAACAAACATTGACACATTTACCGACCATATAATAATATACTTTCTATGTATGTACATAGAGTATATTTTACACTAAATATAATCATTACAAGCATTTAACACGAATATGTTATCCAGGCTGCCCAAGAGAAGATCGTCAAGCAGCTGCAGCACCAGCTCAACGAGGTCCAGGGTAAGGCTGATGAGGCCAACCGCACCCTCAACGACCTGGATGCCGCCAAGAAGAAGCTATCCATCGAGAACTCCGACCTTCTCCGCCAGCTGGAGGAGGCCGAGTCCCAGGTGTCTCAGCTGTCCAAGATCAAGGTGTCCCTCACCACCCAACTCGAGGACACCAAGAGGCTCGCCGACGAGGAGGCCAGGGTATGTATTCATACATAGAGTGTGTTTTAATATTATCCACTCTCTTCAGAACCATTTGTAATGTTATATATTTTACCCACAGGAACGCGCCACCCTTCTTGGCAAGTTCCGCAACCTCGAGCACGACCTGGACAACATCCGCGAACAGGTCGAGGAGGAAGCCGAAGGAAAGGCTGATCTTCAACGCCAGCTTTCCAAGGCCAACGCTGAGGCTCAGCTCTGGCGCTCCAAGTACGAGTCCGAGGGTGTTGCCCGCTCCGAGGAACTCGAGGAGGCCAAGCGCAAGCTCCAGGCCCGCCTTGCCGAAGCCGAGGAGACCATTGAGTCCCTCAACCAGAAGGTTGTTGCCCTCGAGAAGACCAAGCAGCGTCTCGCTACCGAGGTCGAGGACCTGCAGCTCGAGGTCGACCGTGCCACCGCTATTGCCAACGCTGCCGAGAAGAAGCAGAAGGCCTTCGACAAGATCATCGGAGAATGGAAGCTCAAGGTCGACGACCTTGCCGCCGAGCTCGATGCCAGCCAGAAGGAATGCCGCAACTACTCTACCGAACTGTTCCGTCTCAAGGGTGCCTACGAAGAAGGCCAGGAACAACTCGAGGCTGTCCGCCGCGAGAACAAGAACCTCGCCGACGAAGTCAAGGATCTTCTTGACCAAATCGGTGAAGGTGGCCGCAACATCCATGAGATCGAGAAGGCCAGGAAGCGCCTTGAAGCTGAGAAGGACGAGCTCCAGGCTGCCCTTGAGGAGGCTGAGGCTGCCCTTGAACAGGAGGAGAACAAGGTTCTCCGCGCTCAGCTCGAGCTTTCCCAGGTCAGACAGGAGATCGACAGACGCATCCAAGAGAAGGAAGAGGAATTCGAAAACACCCGCAAGAACCACCAGCGTGCCCTTGACTCCATGCAGGCTTCCCTCGAAGCCGAGGCTAAGGGCAAGGCTGAGGCCCTGCGCATGAAGAAGAAGCTTGAGGCTGACATCAATCAGCTCGAAATCGCTCTTGACCACGCCAACAAGGCTAACGCTGAGGCCCAGAAGAACATCAAGCGCTACCAGGCCCAGATCAAGGACCTCCAGACCGCTCTGGAAGAGGAACAGCGTGCCCGCGACGATGCCCGCGAACAGCTCGGCATCTCGGAGCGCCGTGCCAACGCCCTCCAGAACGAACTGGAAGAGTCCCGCACCCTCCTGGAGCAGGCCGACCGTGCCCGCCGCCAGGCCGAGCAGGAACTCGGCGACGCTCACGAACAGCTCAACGAGCTGTCCGCCCAGAGCGCCTCCCTGTCCGCTGCCAAGAGGAAACTCGAATCCGAGCTGCAGACCCTGCACTCCGACCTCGACGAGCTCCTCAACGAGGCTAAGAACTCTGAGGAGAAGGCCAAGAAGGCCATGGTTGACGCTGCCCGTCTTGCCGACGAGCTGCGCGCTGAACAAGACCACGCTCAGACCCAGGAGAAACTCCGCAAGGCCCTTGAACAACAAATCAAGGAACTGCAAGTCAGGTTGGATGAAGCTGAAGCCAACGCCCTTAAGGGAGGCAAGAAGGCTATCCAGAAACTCGAACAGAGGGTCAGGGAGCTCGAGAACGAGCTCGACGGTGAACAGAGGAGACACGCTGACGCACAGAAGAACCTGCGTAAGTCTGAGAGGCGCATCAAGGAGCTCACCTTCCAGGCCGAAGAGGACCGCAAGAACCACGAACGCATGCAAGACCTGGTTGACAAACTGCAACAGAAGATCAAGACCTACAAGAGGCAGATCGAGGAAGCCGAAGAAATCGCCGCCCTCAACTTGGCTAAGTTCCGCAAGGCACAGCAGGAGTTGGAGGAAGCCGAAGAAAGGGCAGACCTTGCCGAGCAGGCCATCAGCAAATTCCGTGGCAAGGGACGCGCGGGTTCCGCCGCGAGAGGAGTCAGTCCGGCGGTGAGTTTCCTTCACTAAGTATTTTACAAACCGTCAACAATAATTCGAGATACTAAGCATCGTTCTCTGATTCAGGCGTCCGTTAAAGGGCGTCCCTAAATCAGCACTGGAGATTAATATGTAAGTTGGCAATGTAATGCACGCCACATATAGCACTATGAGCAGTGCAGTCCCCACCGTAGATATAGACCTTGTGGAAGTTGTCCCCGTATGTTATTCTCTTGCATCTCTCACTCCCGGGCATGACCGAGTATCCAGATCCTGCATGACAGTGATGTAAGCTGCAGACGATGGTAACGATACTAATGCGTGTGTTTCATCCACAGCCCCAGCGCTCGCGTCCCGGCCTTGCTGACGGTTTCGGCACCTTCCCACCTAGGTTCGACCTGGCGCCCGAAGATTTCTAAACGTTCCACTACAGAAAAAAAAACGGACTGTACAGATTTTTCGTTGAAATGTAACTAATTTTTTTTTATACATAGCAGTTGAAAGTTACGAATGCGTGAAACGAAAAACTGTAAAAAAAAATTTTGTAAGCCAACAAAAAAAATATACACTTTAGTGATCTAATCTTTTTACCAAAGGCTATTTTGTAACTTGTTGATATTTATTTATATTATTTATTACCGTGGAGTATGTATCGAGAGTGCGAGGCCCCGAGAGAAGCGCGTGAGCTGTGCGTGCGCATGATCATTCGAGACACGCCCTCCACCTCCTCACCGCTGCCTGCGCGCGCGCCTCTCTCGCTTGCCTCAATTTGACATCTAATAAAGCGATATCGTTGTCATAAAATACTAAAACCTGTGTTTTCATTTATCTCTATTTGGTAATCCCCATGATAATATATTATTTAAATCCATACACATAAATAATGTGATTAAATGAAATATGTAGGAAAAGCACTCAATAAGAATTAAATATTATGACAAAGAAATTATTCCAAGGAAGAATATCTTCCAGGAATATTTAGTAAAAGAAGTTCACATACAAACCAATAAATAGCCTCGAGTGCAAGAATATTAATAGAACACGCAAAAACAGATACTTACACACAAACTAAATAACATGAGAAGTAGATCTTGTTACAGACATATTTAGGCTGATCACAATGATTTTTACTGTCTGACTCGTTTAGTGTACTTTGATACTACCTCATTTTATTCAACAATACTCCCACGGTTAAGAACCACCCAAATTTTCTGCCTTTATCCGTTCACATATTTATTTTACCCATACTATATGACATTCACTTCATATTATTTCCAATCCTAGTATAGTATGTACATAGTTTATAAATAAATATAAATAAATAAATAAATAAATAAATAAATAAATAAAATCCTATTGTAATTTCTAAACTAGTATATGATTGTTATATAACTGTAAGCATCTTTTCAACAAACAAAAATAAGCTTCGGGTTTGCATCATAGTCTTAATTTCCATCATCGGCATCATCACATCAGCCACTATCGAACATAGGCGTGGCCTCTCTTAATGCCTTCCAGACCGGCTGGTTGCATGCATCCACCAAAATCTATATTGATTCCAAGAAACTCCGATTTCTTCATTATTTTATTTCGGCGTATACAAATAGAAAAAGACAGTTACTCTTAAATATTTATTTCACAATATAAATAACGTTGTAACCTTAATACAAAAACTTGTAAAATTTATTTACACAAGTCGAGGAACTGGGCTTCGTCAACATTTCTCAGAACTCTGAGCCTAACAAACAATATTTACTGACATAGAACAAACAGATCGTTGAGATCATCTTACACCACTCTCTACACGCAAACTAAATTATTATTATATTCGTTAGGCTGAGAAGCAAAGAGAAACGATTTTACAATGACGGTAGTTTCTACTAACAAATATTTACGCTATGCACTAGTCTAATAAAGGAAAATAATGTAAAAAACTTTCAGAATGACAATCACTGCAATGTGCAATTAGTATATAAAATAGACAGTTTTACTGATATCTATTCGTTGGTGTGATAGTTTTAAAACAGTTTTGTTTGATTTACACAATTGTTAAAAATATTTATGTAAGAGGTAGTTGTGTTTACACTGTATTATTTGAAAGGTATTTTAAACACAGTATGACAATTAAATAAAGAAAAGTAATTGGTCAGGAATTATTTACAATTACAGTAAAGTCTTTATATCATTATGCCACACTTTCACACCTTAATCTAAATACTCTCTGGTTCACTCAGTTACCAATAATTCCAGAATACTTTAGTTGGGGCTGCACTGTTGGGTGAGGCCTCATTCTCTTGTTCCGGTACAAAGCTCATGCTACAGAAATCCAGGGTGGCTTGCGAGAAGTGCTTGAACTTTTCCTGGAACTCAGCCCAGGTGCACCCTTTCAGGGGACAGATTGGCGTCTCCTTCTCGTTGATGAATATTTGCACTCGGTACTCCGGGTTGATATTGTTATCCGTGCAGCTGGAGAAACAAAATGACGATCGTGAATAATAGAATTCAAACTGTTGGCTCTTATTAGCAATGGGAATGAATATTTTCACTAAAAAGGCACAAGGTTCTTTAAAATGTTTTGGTAATTGATTGAAACAAAATACCTCATAGCGAGACATTTATATACGTCAAACTAATCAACCTAATGTTTTGCCGGTAATGAAACTATAACTTGCAGTTCAATCGGACAACGTTTGACGCCATCTATCGAGCTTTAAGACTATACACAACATATTAATTTTGATAGTAGTATGGCGTTGGTTGAGGGCATCTTTTACAAAGATTATTTTCTACCTTGAATAGATTTAACGTAAACTATCATAAAGTACCGTATACTTTATGTCAGTTTACCTAAGAAAAATCTTTTTTTTTTCATCCTTTGAAATTTATTAACTCCATAGTTATGAGTTTGACTATGACTCTAAAATAATAAACAAATTGTTACTAATCTGGTAATTCATACAGATACTATAAAAAGTAACTCGAAGTATAAAACGGTTACCTATAGATATACAATTCACACGATAAGGGAAGCCGCAATAAACAGCAGAAGGAATGAGTGACAGACGCGTGCAGATTACAAAAAATCTGTATAAAGAGGTGTGATAGATAACATATGATATTGTATAATGATATAATTTATTGTATCACCGATAATTGATCGAAGGGTGTGACTGGCCTATCGATAGTAGAACTGGCTGACTAATTTCCATATCATAATTAGAATCCAGATAAGTAAATATTAAAATACAACACGGTAGGTTGAGAGAAATGAGTAGCTACTTTAGTATTGTTGCTCAGAATATAAACCTAGTTATCTCAAATGTGGTTATTCCTGGTACCGACGATGTTATACATAACAAAATACGCTCATAAAATACAATAGGCAGAAAATTACAATTTAGGCTAAGTAACGTTTTTATAGTTGTACAGCGAATTTGAGTGGTTGAGTTTCTCAGAACTAAATCCATAGCATATCATTATGACTGTAATCGAAGCACATTGTTACAGTGGCTATATATCCTAATATCAAATGCTTGACTAAAATCTGAGAATATAAGAAAATAAAATAGTGTTCAATATTAAATGAAACCTTAACATGTGAGAAAACGTAGTTAGAGATTGAAGATATTATGTAGTTAAAGATTAGGTATCTATCTATAGTTTAAATAATTAACAATAGTACACGTGTAGTTGTTGATTGACGACGTTTATGCTATTTATTTATTTTTAAACAGTCACAACGGCAGAAATCCCAATTTACAGTAACTATGAGTAGAGATATCGTGTAAAGGTGTGTGGCTGATTAGATTAAATGAATTGGCAGTGAAAATGGTGATATAATTCTTACAGGTGATAAAAACATGTGTGTCCAAAGGTATTCAAATTATCTCATGATAGTAAAATTAACCTATCACAGGGAACTGTGTGACTAACCAATTGCGATAAAATACTTATTACAAGCTCTTCTCTGGACAAAAAGAGTAATCATGATAGATATACAAATTAAAATAAATATGGAAAATGTTTTAAATCAACCCAGAATACATCAATCCATAAAACACATACTTCGTGAAATATAAAGTAAATTCTAGAACATTTGCATAATGCTTTTTGCTACTAACAATTACAAAAAACCCGAATGCCTAAACACCGACGAAAATATACCAAAGACTTGAAAAAAGTATTAAGCAGCGCAAAAAGATTGAAGACATAGAAAATCCAGATAAATTGTACATTGACCTTCCAATCTTCCTATCCAGGTAGCACGTAGGTGTGTGTTATTTACGATGCTGAAAATACTTTTAGCTCACATTTGCTAAATACTAATTTGAAATGAACAACTCTCGCATTTGATGGTAACGTTCAGATTATTTTATTTTGAGCTGATCTTGTCTCACCAACATTGGCAATTTGGCAAATGAATACGAATTGTCTTTTAAGAATCATTTTTGCCAGCATAGTTTAATTGTTGGTACCGCCTTAACAGCGGTTTACTTTAAAGATTCTCAAGATATTGACTGCCTCGTTGGCCGAGTGGTTGCAAGGGCGACTGCCGGGCAAGGAGTTTCGAGTTCGATTCCCGGGTCGGGCAAAGAATTACTGGGTTTATAAAAAATGTCAGTGGTAGCACGGAGTCTGGAATTGTGCACGGTATATAGCAATAGGCTCACCCCCTATTACATGGGACTTATAACATCAATAGTGAAAAGTGGGAGTTACATTGTACAGTGGCATTAAGTGCCGTAATGTGCACCTCTGCCTACCGCTTCAGGAAAACCCAAAAAAAAAGAAAGGAATATACCAAATAATAATGTTACCTGTTCAACACAGCAACTAAATTGACAGAGAAGGCCCCAATGTAGCTAGTCCTCCAAGATCTCTCGCCATCCATCAACAGGGCTTGTAGTGGAGGATCATCCTTGTACAGTCCCAGGGCACAGAATACCATCTCCATCATCGTGTCGTGCGTGAAGTAACCGGTGACTTTCTTTCCAACACCCTCCACGGAATTGGAGAAGCTGTCGTAAAGGTCCTTCAGAGGTAGACGACCAAGGTTCTCGTTGACCTAGATATGGAGAAAATTGTCATAAGACCTTTTTATTTGGACATACATACATAAATCAGTAAGAATGAATAATAACATCTTTGGAAAAATCTTATTCTAATTCCGCAATGCCCAAAAGTTCCCTGATCATATTTAGTTTCAGAAGTTAAGCAATAATAGTCTGTTTAAGATTTAGATGATATCAACAACGACACATCACACTATCACAATGTGGATAAAGTATACGATGAAAGTACAACAAATGCGGAACATGATTGTAAACATGGAACAGTTAGACCAACATCAAAATTCCGTAAGAACAAATATTGACAACCCGAAAGCCCCGTGACTTGTTGTGTCATGCATGCATACGCTTCTTTACTTAAATGCGTGGGGAGCATATTGGTGTACAAACGAAAGCAAGTTATTTGAAATCGGGTGTGAATTGCTAGGGAATACTGTTAGTAAGATTTTATCACGATGACTGTTCCTCAGAACAGTCTGTTCACTGTTCTACATGTTTGTAGCTTGCACCTGAACAGACCGTTGCTAAGTACAAATCGAAAAATGTTGCCATAAGCTCATATCATATTGATATAACTTAATTAATGGCCACAAAATTGTAAATTACGTATCTATTAAGGTTTTAATGAATAATTTTGTATAGAACTTATGGAGCCGACTTCTAACCTATCAGTTGGTGAGTAACCTATCAGTACTAATAATAGTTGTTTTTTGCTTTTTAGTTTCGACCTTTTGTTTGTTATTAGTTTTAGGTTTTTTGAAGTCGGTTTTTAAACGCAGTTTTTATTTTTATAATCCTATTTCTCTACCACCTTATTGTCATATACAATACAAATAAATTCTTACCCAAGACCCATATCCGTTTCTGTAATAATGTCTGACGTCATCATAGTACTCCATGATGACAAGATCCTCATCAGTGAAGACGGAGCACCAGGGAGACTTCAGGGTGGGTCCCCAGGAGCGGTAGAACCGGCACAGCTCGTAGATTGAGAACAGGTCTGAAGAGTTCAGCTTGGAGGTAAGGCCTAGACGGTACTGGACTGCGTTTTGGATCTAGAATAGTATCATAAAACATTTAATATTTTGCTAACTAGTCGTTGAGAAGATATAGTTAAGGATAGATTTATAACTGAATGAATTGCACCAAATATAATAAATTAATATTATGTAAATTCTCCGAGGAATTTTACAGGAAATTAAAAAATTAACAAATTATAAAATGCATTATCATAATAAAATGAAACTTACAGCAACATAATTAGGTGACGTAAAATATGAGTCCAGTTGATAATTCAGAGTTGGTCCACCTTTAACTTCTTGCTGATAGCGATCGCAGTTCTCATACGGCTGCAAAGTGACAAGAATATATATGAGAAAAACATGATTGGCGCTACGCCCAGTTCAACGCTCCATGCTACTAGAATACTACTAATGTACATAATAGATAATTAATATGAACTTTCTATTTTTAATATCTGTTTTTCAACTCTGTTAAATGACACTTGATTTAAATGTATATTTACATTTCATAATCAATAATTTATCCATTCCAGTAATTAAAGATTATCACATGAACAATGTCACTTTCCAAAAAAGCGTATTGATGGCTACACCCTGAAGAGTAGATAGACCAGTGAACAAATATGTAAGGGTAAGAAAAGAGTTACCTAAAATAGAAGAATGAAATTGGAAGGGAGTTTCCTTACCCTAATAACATCATCCCTCGTCCGAACTGATTCCACAGTAACATTCAGACTGATGCCATCAGTCAGGCCATGGACGAAGGCGGCACAGCTGGTAATGGTCCTCTGCTCGTTGGTAGGTCTGAAGTGGAAACGGTCAGCGGTTCCAGTCATCAGGTGAGGGTACTTCTCCCTGATCCTCTTGCCAATGTCGTACAACTCCTCGTAACCGACTCCCGTGAGGTAGGAGGTGGTTGTGTCTAGAGTGTTATTCCAGGTCCATTTTTTGAAGTCCTCTATGTCCTGGAATTTGGTATTTTGATTGTTTTATTAGGTTTGAATTTTTTGTGGCAATTATTGGAGACTCTGGCCTATTTTAGGCTTCCAGCCCTTATTTTTAACGAAACGTATTAAGTTTAAGATTACGCCTTGTTTTGTAATGTAGGTATCTACATTCTCTTGAAATAGTAAAAGTCTAAACATTCGCCTGAATGTCTATATTTGTGTTAAACTTCATCAAAATGTTTTAAGTGTGGGAGAGCCATGCTTCGGCACGAATGGGCCGGCTTGACCGGAGTGATACCACGGCCTCACAGAAAACCGACGTGAAGCAACGCTTGCGTTGTATTTCGTCGTGTGAGTGAGATTACCGGAAGCCCAATTACCCCCCTCCCTAGTCTCCCAAATCCCCGAATCCTCCACAATCCTCAAATTCCCAATTCCCAAAAGGCCGGTAACGCACTTGTAACGCCTTGGTGTTTCGGATGTCCATAGGCGGCGCCGATTGCTTACCATCAGGTGATCCGTCTGCTCGTTTCCCGGCTTACGCAATAAAAAAAATGTGTTCATCAGTTTACGAAAATACTTAAATAGGGTATACCTGTGCACAAAGCTGGCTGTTGCCAGCTTCATAGCTGGCGATGATCTCTTCCTTGAGGTTTGTGACCTCCTTCATGCCAAGGGTCACACTGGTGCCAGGGTTCCTGTTGCCATGTCGGTTCAGTGTCCATATTGACACTGCTTGGCAATCTGGAACACAAGAATAGATTATCTAATAAAATAAGAGAATTAAGCTGGATCTCCAGCTTCAATCGATCTCGATTGGAGAGGCCCAAATCGTATAGGAGGAAAACGATAAACGGGCATAGAGAAAAAAATTGAAGTATTCCCAGACACTTCTCAGAATTTCTCCATTAAAAACCCACAGTACAAAACACATCGAGGTATTAAAAAGTTTATATTACATACATATAAGTACCTACATATGATTAGAAAAACTAATTACATCACCAAACCGCAACCGACTCATGATCATAGATCATGTATTGTCACAACAAACAAACATTAGCTAATCGAACGCAATACATATTATACATGTGTAGTCATTCGCTAATCACCGCATGCATAAATACTTATATTACGAGACTGATAAGGGTTTAAAATTTAAATGTTATTAACATTAAAGTCTTCAATTCTTAAGTAAATTCACTATTTCAAGTATTTATCTAAACAGATAAATAAAACTAGAGTGTCTGTATGTAATAACCGCTTTTTAACTCGTCGAGTACCGGTTTTGTAGACACAATTAAAGAACAATAGGTTGCGGTCACCGGTGACCGCTTGGTGTTTGACAGTTTAATACATGCATATGAATATACATACGATACAAATACCAAAATAATATTTTTTTTATTGGTTTGTCTATCTGTTTGTCTATACTGGTTAATCTGTGGAATGGCTGGACCGATTTTGCCGGGACTTTTATTGGCATGTAGCTGATATACTAAGGCGTAACAAAGGCTTAGATACTACTTTTGTTTTGGAAAATTTAAATGACTTATGGTCTAAAATTCATATTCTACGCGTACAACAAGTAACTAATAGAAACAAGTACGGTTACAAAAACATCAAATAATTTCTACTCTATTTGTATTAGAACTTTCGTGAGACATACTAAATAAATAATTATATTTTCGGCTTACTCACGTAATTGTTGTCGAGGTGTCGCGTGTCGCGGAATGCTGCTCCTGAATATGAGGCTCTAGCATGGCTTGAAACTAATCGAGTTCCTCGTCAAATAATAGGGTAGACGACTAATTTTTATTTTAATGTCCGTCTGGTAGATTATTTAAAAACAGACACGTATTTTTTATTTTCTTACGGAAACGAATAGTTTCGAAGATATATTGATTTGAAATGTCGCGTGACGTCACTTCTCAGTACATTTTATACTAAGAAATGACGTTTTAGCCCCCACTCCTAAACTTTGATTCGTTTTATCTAAGTATTGTTTTATTATACAACAAAATAAAAAAATACGTGTCTAATATTTTTTTATTACCTAAGTTACGGACTAATTATATTTTTAATTTTCATACCCTGTCATCATCCCCATTATGTAAGCCGAAAAACAATACCTATAATTAATTTGTATTCTGTTTATGACGTATTTGTAACTCATTTAGGTATACATAATTATTCACATAACTTCACATACCGTGGAAGAAAGTTGGTAGGCGACATATTTCAATAACAATACTATCTTGGTGTTGCACATTTCGATACGTCCCATATTACTACGGGATCTTAATACAAAGAAAGTATCTTTTACCTCTAGTATTGATGGTAGAGAAACTTCAAAATGTGTTTACAGTTAGACGTTTGCGTATGAGTTAGTGTTGTCTAAAGTGGAGCTATAAATTGGGCCCTAAACAAGGCCATCGGGTATCTAAGAGACTATAAGAAATATGTACAGAAATATGGCAATAGGCTCACCCCCTATTACATGGGACTCATAACATAAATAGTGAAAAGTGGGTGTTACATTGTACAGTGGCGTAATGTGCACCTCTGCCTACCCCTTCGAGGATAAAAGGCGTGATGTTATGTTATATCCAGAAATGCTCTTTATTTATATTCAAATAAGGAATAAATTTTATCGTAATAAATAATTGCAATAAAATAAGGAATTTCACAAGTTTATAATGCAAAAGTTCACTATGTTTACTCACACGTACACACATACGAAATCGATTAACACAATGCAACTAAATCTACAATAGTTGAAAAACCTATTCTCAAAATCGAACAGGAAAACCGCATACTTCGGAGAAGCGCCCAAATTATCCATATACAGACGTTTTTTATTTACATGTTAACGAAAAAATAATTTATGGAAACACTTCAAAAAAAATGTAGCGTACTCAGTCTATATACAGCGTCAGTTTATTAAAGACTTGGAAAAAATGCCTTCATGGGTAATGTACTTGAACGAAGTTTTTTGTTACTTCGCCAGTTATCATCAATCATCACAATAGCTCGGCATTTAGTGACAATCGTTGGACTAAGTGTCCATGTTATTCTACAGTTCCTTTTGAGGAAAGAATATAAACGTATCTAAGATTTACATTTCTATTTTGTTTAGAATCTACTTACGACAAAATATTGGCGAAATGGACACTAGAGGTAGATGGACTATTAATGTGACTATTACATTTCAATTTCATATTTTTTTTATGGTATAAACCCGTAAACAAACAGACGGATTTCCTTGTGGTAAGTAATTGGTGTCGCCTTTTGACACCAGTTACCGACTTTTTGGGGCTTAGGAATTAGGATTGTTGGGTATTCAGGAAATTGGGGAAGGGGAGGGGGAATTGTTTTGGCTTACGCTGTAAAATTATGTAGTTATATTTGTATGAATAAACAAATTACATACACAAAAACCAGTCATTGTAGAGCTAATACACTACTATACCTACAATGTTTTGTATCCCGATATTCTTACAGAATAGGGAGCTACTCGAGGCAAATATTCTAAATGATGGGTGCACATGCACAAAGTTAGTATTTAATGTATGCATTCGTAACATCTTGATTAAGACAATTGTCTTGATGAGACGTAGTTTGCACCAAGATATCATGTTGCATGCATTTATCGTTATTACCACTTATTACTTAGCGGCCGAGGCAGACCCTAATGAACAAACTCAACTGCACATTTGACGGAGATCGGGAAGCAGCGCTCTTGTACACCTGAACCCTTTATAGCGCGATCTCCAACCCCCCGTGTGTGCGGAGATTATGGCAAACATTTCAAGTCTCAGATTGCTGACAATGATAATAATCAACAGCTTATAAGTGCCCACTACTGAGCAAAGCCTCTTCTCACATGGATAAGGTTTGAGCATTAAAATGCGGGTTGGCGATTTCAAACTTATAATTAAAAATTGTAAGTCTAAGTTTTCTCACCGTTTATGTAACTTCCCAATCTCAACCTGTAACTCATTAATGGTGGAAAACAACACCATTTAATGCACTGCATCTCTCAAAGCATTATGTAAGTTCTATGTTAATGCGTTATGCATAAAATTTATTGAAAACAATTATTATGTTAGGTAAACCCTTCAATCAATTTGGAAGTCATTACGGAAGACCTACATTCAGCATGAAAGTGCTCTAATTGATAACTACATATAGCAATTAGAACAAAACGTATGGAAAATGACACTTTAATTTATTTCTCAATAATTAATTCTTCGATTATCATGTAGGCAAAGTGTTACGGAAATTGTCGCAATCATAGTTATCAATAACTCATAACAAGGAGTTTGGAGTTGTAATTATTTTTAATAAACTAGACATCTAAAATCTAAAACGATAGAAGCAATAAAAAAGTCTATGTACTATAAGAACTCCTTTACAAGAATATTAATAATCTTTAAGAAGAATATATGAAGCTATGGTACAATATTGGATCAGGGTTTTCCCTAACCGCATGTTCTAAGTAAACCACAAAGTACATAGAGACAGCACTTTGCATAGTTAACCAGCAAGACACATGTATGTGATAAAAAATATATCAAGAATTAATTGACTTTTCTTGTAATGAATTATTCTTGGAAATAATCTCTGTGAGGTGTAGTTGAAATCATATTACTTGTATAAAATGAAATTACTCGGTTAATCGTTACTAACTAAAAAACAACAAATAGCGAAAAAAAAACGTACTTCATATAACTTTGTAGTTTGAATGCGACTGCCGAGTACAGTGCCTTTTTCTTAGGTTGAGGGGGAAAATTATCCAATGCCTACTCCCGCCTTGGGTTAGCCGAGAGGGAGTGTCAGACTCTTGCTAACTATAAACCAACCATTTTCTACTCCTGCTCCTCGAGCCGGGGCCCCGGCAAAAGATAGTGCCTACGGTTTTTCAGTTTTTAGGAAATTCTTAGTTGTCACAGTTTTGAATAGGGATGATGACAGGGTATGAAAAACACGATTTTTTTATTTTGTCGTGTAAAAAAACAATACTTAGATAAAACGAAACGAAAGTTTAGGAGTGGGAGGTAGCTACGTCATTTTAGAGTATGAATTGTACTTAAAAGTGACATCAAGCGATATTTCAAATCAAAATATCTTCGAAACTATTCGTTTTTGTAAGAAAAATACGTGTCTAATGTTTTTAAATAATCTAACAGACGGACATTGAAATAAAAATTAGTCATCTATCCTATTGTGTCCAGTTTACCTATGTATCGAAATCAAGAGTCTTCTACTGTCTTCTGCCTACTTAGACAAACATCTCTAATGTTGATGAGAACTTGTATGATTGATGATGGCGGTTTAATAAATATTTTTTCTCGTTATTATAAGATTGGCCATAAAATTATTGTGGAAATGACAGTTATGTCGTGAGAAATCCGTATTGTCTATTGTTTTGTATAGAGTTTTTTGCGTTCCACGACATAACTTAAACATGAGCACTTAAGTCCTAGTTAATGGTAAATATTCATAGCTTGGGCACTTAGCCTAGGGCTAGTACCGACTATAATTTCAATGTGTAAAAAATGTGTTTAACCTTTTTTTCGTAATACTCCTTCTATCATAGTATCTTCACTATTTATGGTAATTGTAAATTGTAAAATGATGATACCGTTTATGGCCAATAAGATAATTAGTGTATTGTATCTCGTTTTACCTCTTCAGAAAATTAAGGCGTGATGTTGCAAACTATGCACTGCAACTTATGACTCTGTCCACACAGTTTTTGTCCCCAAGCATCATAAATTAAAGACCACTAATTTCGTATGCACACTATAAATAAATTAAAGTATAATAGATAAATATTCATTAAATATATTATCATAAGTCAGTAGGCAACCATCCATTCATAAATAAATAGTTAGTATTCAGAAAAGTCAAAACAAACAATAAAAATTAATTGGCCCAAAAATACAAAATTAAATGTATTTCATATTCATATTTTAAACTTTCTCTCAATAACATTTGGGTGCAATTTTGTCGAACAGTGATTTATGGGTCCTACTGACCCGATGAGAAATCTAGAAGGCTTCATAATCTAGAAATAGACTTACTTGTTGGTATTGCGTAGTCTCTGATATCACCTCGAACCGTGTCATATGGTGTTTTGGATCCAAACAGCTGATAAGGGCACGGGGCGTTCCAATAGCAAGCCTCCGCGTAAACCGCGGTTAGTACTAAAAATATTAGTTTTGACATGTTGCCTGCGAGCCGGCGGCGGTAGCGTCCGATTGTGTTGGGTGAACCGCGTCAGCTTCCTATATTGTCCCCACTACGTTAGTAATACACTAGCTAAAGCCGCATCCACAATGAACGCACGATGCAACAAAAAATATTCCAACAAAACGTCACTTTTTACCGCCATATTTCATATTCGAATTTGGAAAAAAAGAAGACGGCCGCTGTCATTTCTTTGTCGAATTTAATGCAATAAACGAATGAGTTTAGTTCTTTTATTTTATTTTTAAAAATTAATAGTGTTGTTAATATTGATTTATTGGGAAGTTGTTGTTCTAAGATGCCTCTGACTTTATTTGACCTCAATTAAACTCGTTCAGTGTAACGGATCTTGTATGTGGTTTAATTGTTTCGAGCTAACACTTAGGTGTTCGCTGAGGTCAATTTCTTGTGCACGTGATAACATCGACACCCATTACTTGTATAGAGAGAACTGTAATAAAAATTAATATTGAAATGATACACGATACTTGATACTGCTTACATATATGAACCTAATCTTAACAGTTGCTCAGACTTAGTTATTAGATAAAGGATGATTCAACAACAATATCATCTGTCTACAGAAACAGCTAACCAATGTTACACACGGTAAATAAGGATATTTGCAATTTACTCACGTAGTTACCCACTTACTAAGGCAAGGATCATTATATAAATATTTTTCAAGACTGCATTAAAGTTACTCGTGTGAAGCAAGCCCGGCCATATTGATTGGATTTTACTATCAAATGCCACCTATCAAGATAATCAGATCACACTTCACCTGATACCTTTCTGATATCATAAGACAGACATTTTGTCTCACAAATATACATACAACTACTTTACACATATCTGTTAGTTAAAATATATTTAAAGATTAGTCGTATTATGTCACGCCTTTAGCGCAAGTGATACTAATCTTAGTTTAATCTAATCAATGGTCACAATATGGATGCAATTGACATTATCGTATCCTGACCACGCACTGGTGTCCACGCCTCCACGCCCATTCCATGTGTTCATTATAAGATTTACAATCAATCGTAAATTAATATACCTAATCGAAGGTAATATGTAAAGTCCACTCACGCAAAGCACCCCTGATCACCACAAAATGACTTGTAATCGTGATATTGGGAAGTTATAAATGGATTTGAGGTTTAAATTTTATGAGTTTTAATAAATTTTTGATTGTAAAAGGATTCAGAAACAGGTACATTACCTGGGTAAATGCTTACAAGTAAAAATAGGTTTGGTCGTGTTGTATGGCAAAAATTGCTATTAAGAAATAGATTACGACTACTAAAATCGAAAATGAAACATCAATTCTATCTTGGTACATCATGAGTAATATGGGTAGAAATTCATCACATACTTCTGTTTAGAATGTACTGTAAAATCAACGAAGGAACAAAAATGTGTTTCTATTTTAAATAGGTTATTTTAGATAGGATGATATCTAGTATTTATAAAACTGTTATATTTAGCGCGACCTGTATGTTTGGGTTAAATTTAGTAATTAGAATTTCTGTCTATTCCTGACCACAGATCAGATTTTCGGTACCCACTCTTATTCTTGATGACCATATACATTAAAGCAGTTTAACATGAAACATATTTTTTATGTCTTACTTGTTAAAAAAGAGCATTACTATAACTCTGCGTGCGTATGAGTATAGGAATTAGAAGGTGCGACAAAATTTAATAAGTTCATTGACTGCCTCAATGCTTGAATGATCACAATTACTATTTAGCTAGAAGCCCCAGTTCGGCACTGTGCACTGGGGCTTCTGGTTTCGATTTCGGGATCGCGCAGACTTGACCTCTAGAGTATGGAACTTATAACATAGCTGTCGTAATTGTGAAACTACATTTTACCTTAAATACAAAAGTTACGCAACCCCCTCGGTAATAATGGTGATTAACTGTTTTTAAAATTTCTGTGGAGTACATACGAATGGAATTTCTGATTGTATAAAATCAATAAAGTAAAAACAATGTTCTTTCACCGGAGAATTTAATTAATTTTCAGGTAGAAATATACTTAGAGTAATTTTATCTCAATATTTCTACAGAATTGTGATCTTATCCTGAGAAATATTCAAAATTATAGGTCCATATAGCTATGACGGGTGAAATCGTGGGTGGAGCTAACTGTCACTAAAGACACTTACAATTTTCAAAGAAGTCACTCGGTATTATACCTCACAATTCTACTTCCCGACTATTAAACGAAACTAAAACTAGCAATGACATAATAAAGATGTTTCAGCAAGTGCTTACAATTGAATCTTATACTTACTTCACTACATAGTATAAAACAAAGTCGCTACCCGCCGTCTATCTATCCCTATGTATGCTTAGATCTTTAAAAGTAAGCGCGATTTTGATGCGGGTTTTTTTTTCATAGGTAGAGTGGTTCTTAAGGAAGGTTTATATGTATAATGCATGCATATTGCACCCGTGCTAAGCCGGGGCGGGTCGCTAGTTTTATATAATAAAGTTGAAGAGTTTCTTGTTTGCGGGATAGTCCTTTTATCGAGGAAGACTATAAGCTATAATACATCACGCTACGACCAACAGGAACTGAATAGAGCGAGTAAAACAGCGCGAAAGTAACTAGTTATAAATGAAAATTAACAATCACATTGATGGTGATATATTTTAATTAATGTAAATATTACATTGTATAACATTTGATTAATGTAACATAGTTGATTACACGTGTTCATATACATATTGTAATTGTGGTATTACATGGACATTTCGTTGTAACAACATTAGATATAGTATATTGTTATAACTTACATACTAAATTATCGATAACATGTAATATTATGTAAGCAAATGTTTGTTTCAGACGAACTAATTACAAAGTCTACTAAATTGATTTAAAAAAATATTTAATTAACCTTGTTCTAGGTATGTCGTGGTGGCCTGGAGGTTTAAGACGCCCGCTTCTCATGCATGGGGGTGCGGGTTCGAAACCTACCAACGGCAAGTACCAACGTAACTTTTTCCGATTTAAATGCACTTTCTAAGATTATTCAGACACCACTGACAAACGGTGAAGGAAAACATCGTGAGGAAACCGGGGTTATAATTTTTAATTATAAGTTTGAAATCGCCAACCCACATTGAGCAAGCGTGGCGACTAATGCTCAAATCTTCTCCGTCTGTGAAGAGGCTTTGCTCAGCAGTGGGCATTTATAGGCTGTTGATGATGATGATGATGATGATGTTCTAGGTATGGGTACTGTGAATGTCTGATTGTGTTGTCGGAATTTAAAAGAGAATGAGATTCCCAATCCGTTGGAATTTATTTTTTATTAATGATTTTTGTACTTAATTTAATTCCGCTCTAGACATGGCTGTGTTTATTATTTGATACAAATGGTGACTAATCATAGGTAAGTTAATAAGTGTTCGTGGAAAAACAAAATAGATTAAGTGATTTACTTCGGATTTCTATCTTCAACTTGCTTGAGGACGGTGAAAAAAGTATATGACGCCTTTATGATCTGAAACAAGAAAAAAAACAGTATTATAATAGGATCTTTTCTAATTCATATTGTTAGAAATCGTGGACCACTTTGGACTTAGGCATTTATATTAAAAACTGCAAGTTTTTTCTCAAATCTCCTCAATTCCGACGATGCCCAAAAGGCCGGTAACGCAATTGTAACACCTTTTTTTATGTATTAGGAGGCAAACGAACACATGGATCACCTAATGGTAAGCGATCAGCGACGCCCATGAACACCCGCAACACCAGAGGAGTCACAGGTGCGTTGCCGGCCTTTTAAAAAGGAATACGCTCTTTTCTTTAACTCGTCGAGTACCGTCATTATAGACACAATTATAGAACAATAGGTTGCGGTCACCGGTGACCGCTTGGTGTTTGACAGTTTAAGGTTTGAAGGTCGTATTTTACACCACGGATATTTCGGGTATCCATGAGCGAAGCCGATTGCTTACCATTAGTGATCCCTATACTCATTTACCGACTTATCCCATAAAAAAATAGACATTAAAACAAACGTTTCGGTTTACATACATAATAATGTAGGTTAAACAAAACTTGCCTGTCATAGATGACATAAGCCAATTAGTGTCAGTTTTTGGAGGTGTGATCGATAAGCGATTTATGTTCTGATTAGGCTAAGATTTTAATTTATGTTTACTAGAGGCTATAAACTCATAAATAGACTATATGTAAATTACTGATAATACTCACTGAGGTGAAGCATGACAGGGAGAGCGTCATAAAGCCGCCCGCTGTCAGTTGTACGGCGCGTCGCGAGCGCAGCATTAATATCAACAGCGAACGACGCAGGCGCAGGGAACATTTGTACCAGGGACACTCGTACGCAGCACCAGCTATGTCGTAACTCTATTGTAAAGTAAAATATATAGACACTATAGACAGTACAATACTGCTTTTATACCTACTTCCTTAACGTCCATCATATTCATACAACCGTTTTCCGAATTATTTCATTATTACGAAAGGATCCTAAAGAAAATATTCTTTAGGATCCTTTCCTTTTAAAATTCTAGTGAAAATGAAGTTGTATTCAAACAAGACCAAGGTGCTCGTTGTGGACAGAATGGGGACATGCACTCGCTCACATGAACTCAGAGACTTGGAGTTTGTGGATCGGTTTATTTATCTGGGCTCTCTTATCGATGGTGGGGGTGGCAGCGACGGAGAGATCAGAAGGAGAATCCAGATGTCCAAATCAGCAATGACGAAACTCACCAAGATATGGAAGGACCGAAATATATGTCGCAAGACCAAAGTGAGGCTGATGCGTGCGTTGGTTTTCTCCATTTTCTTGTATGGCGCCGAATCCTGGACCCTAAGGAAAACTGAGAGAGCAAAAATTGACGCCTTCGAAATGTGGTGCTGGAGACGTATGCTCCGTATTCCCTGGACCGCTCGTCGCACCAACGTCTCCATTCTCAAGGAGATCGGAATTACTACGAGGCTGTCCACTGTATGCCTGCAGCGAATATTAACTTATTTTGGCCACATTGCGCGTAGAGACCCCAACAATCTGGAGAAGCTTGTGGTTGTTGGTCGGGTTAACGGGAAAAGACCTCGCGGTCGCTCACCTACCCGGTGGTTGGATGCTGTAAAAAACCTAACCGGCCTGACAGTTCCACAAGCCATAAAGACCGCAGAGGACAGGGGCGTTTGGAGGAGGGTTGTGCATCAAGTGACGCGTGCACCAGACTAGACACGACCTTCAGTAATGAAGAAGACGACTAGGAAGGAAGGAA